TACTCACAGTATCCCTCCTGTTCTAATTTTTTTTCAGTTAATTTTTCTTTTGCGTCCAGTTTCTTAATTTCATATATGTTCTGTGTATGCGCAGTTTATTTGTCACGTCTCGCGAGTCAAGGTAATGAGCTTTCTAGTTTTCCTAAGTATTTGCTATGTTCACGCGAAAACTCTGTTCTTTTGCCGAGGTTGCTTCCCAGAACCAAATCATCTAATCTTTCCTAATGGTACTTTTCAACCACGTGGTTACATCAGGTGGTAGGGAGTAGAATTCAATTTGGAAACTAGGCGTTGCTGTCGCATGGCCAGAGGCGCCGCGTTCAGGGTACGTCCATGGCGTTCGGGGAAAACTTTGCTGAATACGATCCCAAAAACAAATATCCTCCTTTGATACGACACATCTATTGAATGCTGCCGACTTTTTCCAGTTGCCGTCGAAGGGTCAAAACTCTCCGACCAACTATCAGAGATAGTAGTTTTGTGGCGCCGTCGACCAAAATTAAGGGGAGATAAGAGGAGTCAGAGGAGTAATCTAATCAAAAAGTTCCCTCGGAAATATGACTGCTCTCTTCTCTAGCGACCGAATATGGCCCTGTTGGGGATCATCAATGAACAGCACGCCCTGGCCGCGTTCTTCGGACCACAGTGATGAATAACAAACCCCTGACGTCTCAACGTTGTGTAGTCGCTGGAGTTGTGTAGTTGTCATAAGAAATGCTTGCGAAAAAACAACGTTTTCATTCTGAACCAAGGACCACAACTTTGCGGGGCAACTTCCTCATCCACCGGCAGGGGACAATAACCTTACCAATATCGCAAAGGGAGTTCTGGTTCAGATTTCTCCTAATTACTGTGGTTGAAAACCTCTTTCCTTCTTGTTGTTCGTCCTCCTTCTCCTTTTTCTTATCCTTCTTAACGAAACCATTCGCTAATTGAATTCGTTCTTTATAGGTTACACAGCGAACCTATCAGCATACCTGTGGGAGTATTTTAGTTAGAGCACGTCCTCGACTAGGAAAATTTTCGCGAAATACAGCCACCCTCGCCCTTCCCCATCCAACCCACAATTTTACCTAATTCTTCAAGCGGCAACCAGTATTCCCAGAATTTTCCAAAAAATTTTAAAATATATCGTCAAAAGGGGGACAAGGCCACGTACGCCCCACTCTCAAAGCTACGAGTAAATGCGATCCTATCTGCCACGCGCCACGAGAATTTCTCAGCGATGCGGATAGTCCTGAAACAGGAGAATTTGTCAACCGGGAACTTTTTCTGAGACCAAGAACGACCCTTTCCTGACAGGAGCTAAAATCGACCTCCCTCAGGCACGACGTCCCTGATTCAATAATAAACGACTTGAAGGTTTTCATCCATGAGAACGGCCAAATGCGCATTCAAAGTTCTCCATCAACGAATATGTGCATGATTTAGGAGTATGCCAGCTTTAAAGGAATCTAGCATTTCTCAGAGCGTTACCTTCACTTCCGATTATGTTTAGCAGTTTGCAAATATTATTTATTTATTTATTTATTTATCATTATGTATTCATTTTATTATATTGAACACACGTGCAACAAAGGCCTCAGTAGTAAGGTGTTTAGTCTAGAAGGGAAGTCATACTATACAGGGGGGCCAAAAAAAAGTCATTTTGCCTCCATGACTTTCAAGGCGCTATAAGTTACACTTTATTAAATTTTTATCGGACATTTTTACTACCATATTAAAGAGCACATTAAATACTATAACGATGCTCCGCCACAGCCTTCTGGAGGAGCGCCATCGAGAGATTCGGCCGCGCGAAAGTGAGTGGGTACCGGAGTTGAGCGAGATCGTTGATTTCTCCGCCACTGTAGACCACCCTGTTGCACACCCTCAGTCTGGGGCCCACGAAGAAAATATCGGTTCATCCATTCCAGATACGGCCGGTCCACACCATCAACCCGCGCCTTTGGTGAAAGGGGTGAAGATGATGTCCTGGACCGTAGCGACGTTGCCGGAGCTGCTCGATGTTTAGGTCTTGCAGATCAAGAGTACTCCAGGTAGCTATCCATGGGTGATTCCATTCAAGAAGTTCCGCAGCTGTTTGGAGGCCACGTGAATTCCAAAGGCGTTCTCCACTCAGGCCGCGACTGGAGATGACTTCATATTTTGGTTTAATGAAGTGAATGGCGGCATCCGGTCTGATTCATTATAGCCGGAAGATTTGGTTATCCTTCCCGCCCGCCATAGAAACTAACCAAAAAGTACTCATAATTACTTCCTCTTCCTGGGCTGGGCGAAAACTTCGCTCATTATGTGACCGGCAGAATGTACTTTTGGCCCCTTGTCTATTTCTGAGGCTGCCAAGTTCTCTTTTGAAAAATGATAAGAACGAACGAAGTGCCTAACTCTTTCCGTTTTTTTAAACATTTGAGCTGCTATCTGTAATAAATTGCCTTTCTATCTATAAGTGTGAGAGATAACAATGAAAGTACTATCGTAGAAGCAGGGGCTTCTTTTCTGACGATTGAGCAGCTATACAACTACATTCGAATGTTCTTCACTGTTTTCTTTACCTTGACTCTTCACTTTATCTATTTGCTGATCTTGTTTTCTCCAGCCAGCCTTCTTCACAAGTCATTTGTCAAAGCTCAGGCATGTCGTGTGCTTGTGTTATTACTGGCATATCGGAAATATTTTTGTCGGGCAGGGGCCATTCGTGCGCAACATGCTTCATTTTGTCTTTTATTTACTCTTCATGATCTTCTTGTTTTTCATTTACCTCTTTTTTTTATCTTCATCTGCGTGAATTTGGTGGACGATCAACAGTTAGCGTTCCCGAGAAATCATCCTTTAGGGACCCGCACCTTATTTCAGTTCTAGGACAGATTAAGTTGAACTATAGCATTATATTCATATGGCAATCAGAGCACATCCTGCTGTTGGGGAAAAATTTTGCAATATCTTCTCGAAACCGCTTCCTTCTACAAGCTTTCTACCTCTCTTCTGCACTTTTCAGCGACAGTTTCAGTTTTTTTTTTTTGGCTGGGGGGGGGCATATGTAGCACATTTGAAATAGGAAAAAATCGAGAACAGCCAACAATCAAACGTTTTTCTCAACAGGAAAATACCACTTCCTCCCTCCAGCGATCTTATGTGTCACCCCCTCCCCCTTTCTGAGGATCCCCAACAGGACGCGCCGCGATGTGACATGGGAGTGAGTATTGGCTACTATAACCATACTCCCTGCATTAATCTTATCCTGGCGCCAAACCTTCTTCAGTTCTTGGGTTGCTTATTGGCAGAAGGTTCATCAAGAAATACCAGCGCTAACTTCTACGTCAAGACTTCAGCCTGATGATAAGTTGCATGCGCGGCACATCAAAGATATGTAGAGTGAAGTGCGCGGAGCCCCCTATAGTTCATCCTCTACTCTTATATTCTTTTCTGTATCTTTTTATCTTTATTCAACGAATGCACTAGATTTTTGGAAAAAAAGGACTTAGGCGTAATTTCGCACGGTGGTGGCACCGAGTGACATCCAGCTAAGCTTGTACAAGCTTGTAAAAAACTTTTTGTAAGTTCTTGTGGCCGAAAAGGCTCGCACGTCACATTTTGCGCCTTCATAGGAATATAGTTGTCTTAACAAAGTGAGGCCTGTTGCTTAAAATGAACTCACATAAAGAGCTCGCGAAAGTGCAAAATGTTCCCTCCATGCGAACAGCACCAAAACTTCTCCGTGCCTTACTGGAACGAAACTCTTCCTCACGATGGCTTTTTGGACCGTGCACTGAGCTCCCAGAATCATCGTGCTCAAATGAGCGATGATCCTGGGAGCTTTCCGAGTTGCTCTCCAGCTGTCCGCTACTACTGTATATGGGCGAGCCAAGACCAGTCGAGTTAGAGGAAGACATGAAAAGATTTCCTGATACACTGAGACTCACTATCACTAGGATCTTACTTGATCAGGAAAGGCTTTAGTTCTGTATTACGACTGTATAGTTCTCTTGTACCTAAACTAACGAATTTTTCTAACTATGAACTTTGGTCTTATTGATATTCGTGCCCATCCTCTACCTCTGTGCAAAGCCTGAGCTCCTCTGTTTTCTTCCGTTTAGTCTTACTCATATGCATTTTTTCAGTAATGGACGATGAGCCGACGTCGTCGCGTCGATCGGGCGACACGGCGACATCACGTCGCATGTGCGGCTCGGCGGATTCAACGGCGAGCGACAGCGACACCGCCGACGATGCACCTCTTCTAGCTAGCGGCAGTCAGCCTGTCCGAATCGACATGCCGTCTTCGGAAAAGCCTGCGTCACCTCATGACCGATTTCCAAAGGAACGTGCAAAAGCGCTGGTGAGTGCCCGATTCTTTTAGTGATGTCATAAATTCCTTCACCCTTTGAAAGGCGCACGCACAACTTACAAAAACAACTCATTTCTCAATGCTTACTGCACATGGTTGCTCAAGAATAGATTTGAGGGACCTCAGAAAGAGGGAAATTCCATGGAAATACGTGGTTCAGTTCGGTCTAAGTAACATATTGTATTTTCGTTGCCTAACACCTTCGTCAGTTCGAAAATACCAAGTGCTCTGGGCCCTCAGTGGACAAGACATGACCAGCGGGGGAAGGGCGAGTAACCAGTTGAGGATCCAATTTTATTCTTAAGAGGTATGTCGTTACGCGTGGAACGAAGGTGATGTAGTGGCGAGTAGCACTTACCCGCTTACCAGTGCTTACTTTGCGAAAGGACAGGTGTTCGAATCCAGGATCAGCTCTCGCCCAGGACAACCGGCTCTCTACACTGTCACGAACGGTGAACTGGTAACCGGAATTTGTCTGCGGAGAACGTAACGACACCTATGATTTCGTCCAACTGTACGTCGGGCTGCTCTCCTCCACTCTTTGCAATCGTGGGTATAGGCCACATTAACGACTGCCTGCTTGTGATAAGCGAAAGGAGCAGAATGCTATGCCCAGAAAGGAATTAAACCTGCTGAGAATTCTATCGTTTTTCATTCGCCTTTGTAGTAGACATTGATTCACGTTTCTTAATATTTTTCGTATATATCAGTTTAATTTCAGTGATGTTAAAGTGTGTCTAGAAAATACATACATACAGTTTGTAATTTAATCGTGCGTTTTGCGCTTGATGTTAGAGTTCAAAAATTTCAAAACAGGTGGCTGGTATCTAGATGAAAGATTCAATTTAAGCCAAACCATCCAGCTGCAGTTTCCGTCAGCGAGATAATTGTCGAAAAGTAGATGCCCTCAGAATTACAATAAATTCCTTATGACGGAGAAGCCCAGTGCGTGAGTGCTCGTGCTAAGCTGCTGCTTTTCCATACATCAAATCACCTACCACTTTGGGGATAATCTTAGTTACATAAGACTAGATAAGAAAACAGCTGATGTACTTGTTTAATAAGCTTCTACTTTACCCCTCCCCCTCTCTGAAGAATATACCAAAATGAGACTGGATAAAACGACATACGGGGTCTATCAGTCACAGCACGATTTGCACATTTTTCCTGAACGAACACTGAACTCCTGTGAACAGGGCACGTCATCGCGTTGTGATCATTTTCTGAAAAGACACCCCCTAATTCCATATAAGTACATCGACCTTTTTGGTGTTGGGGTACGACCCCCTACCCCCCCCCCCTCGCCCGTCTGTCTTCCTGCAATCGAACGAGCTGTCCAGTCGGGGAGAGGGGGTCAGCTTCAGAATTGAACTATATTTTCGAGGTGTCGGAAATATTGAGTAGTGCGTCCGTGGAACTGTACCAAATATCGACCTCCCTCCCTGCGTGGTCGAGATCGACCCCTCCCCGCGCATGTGATATCACAGCGATGGCCGTACCCTGCCTGTGGAAAGCTGAGGCAAGCGTATCTGATCCACATTGATGAAACCTGGCACCACGAAAGGCTTTTTCTAGGGATGGGTCAATCACGTCGCATGGGAAGTAGCCAAAGTGCCAGCAGTGAGCCCCCCCCCTGTCGCGAATGACTGCGCCCCTCAGCTGTATAACATCTTATTGTTCAGCCTCAAATCAGCTACTCGATCAGGGTCTGTCCCCATTGTAGCGAGAGTGTTGTTTCACGCCATTGGTACCATGGAGCTATCAAGTAATTAACTCCACTGGGAATATCAGTGAAATTTTGTGACAATCCGTGTCTGGTAACATTGTTGATCCTGTTGTATTATGTATGAACTAAGCTTTCTTACCAGACTATTTTTGCCTTGAGGAACCGGTAGAAAGAGTTGGTGATCCTGGTCGTGATTTTGCTCTGTAAACTCGAATATCGGTCAGTAGATAAGTGCCCTTTCTCTGTACTTTGCTGCCACTCCTGTTCCTCACAACCGAGTTATGTTGATTTTATGGCAATTTCTTAATTGTTTATAAAGAGTTGCTGTAAAATGCTATGTGAAATCCTTGCTTAATGGCATGGTCCACATTTGAAAGCGTAGGTAATATTATAAGATGAAATAGAAGGCGCCATGGAGCTCGTCTGTGAGAAAAAATTGCGAGAGGGAACCTCAGAACGTCCTTCATGAGAGCCCTCTGGCCTTACAAATTCGAAACTATTCGCTGACGTACACCTATACGCAGCGGGTTATAATGAACACGATGACACTTTCTCAGACAGTTTCGCTTTGTTTAGATTCTTCCTGCTTGTCAACATACATTTTTTCGCTGGAGGGGTATGTCGGAGGCGGGTCACTGGTAAAAAGGAAGGAGTCACCAGACTGCTTATGACGCTCTTACTTTGTAACTTTATGCAGCGATAATCGTTCAAAGTTGTTCATTGCAGATTACAATACCTGTTTCACGCAATCTTTTACACTCCCATGGATTACCGCGGACCGTGCATTTAATAAATTTTCGGGACGTGGAGGGGGGGGGGTCAAGCGAGTTTTTGTTTCCCGGATGTTTCACTGTTATAAGTTGACATGTTCAATTACATATGTCTTTAACCGAAAAACTGAAGGTAATGGACAGATGGAACCGCAAAACTGGTATTACTGTAAGGAAAGACCAATACTTCTGCTTGAGGCTAAAAGGGGAAGGAGCTCCTGAGTAGGCAAACTACTTTCGAATTTGGCCATCCTGTTCTGAACATATTGATGCCAATTGCGCATACGGAGTCCTTTAAATGCCCCCAGGGCTCGTGACTCCTACTGCTGCCCGTTCTACCGTCGCCTCACAGTGTGGATTTTGGTCGAGTTGAAGTTAAGCTTTTATCGAAGAAACATGTTTGATAAGATTCACGAGTTTACGTTTTGATTTTCCAAAACAACAGCTAAGAGATCAAAAATTGCTCATTAGCCCCATCAAAGCGCCTGCTGCCCTCTAGCATTATTGACATCATCACGTAGGCTCCCGAAAAATGCCCGGAACTGAAAGATGAGCTCATTCGAGATCCTCACACCTGGGGGTAGTTTTCAGATGGTGCATCTGTCCTGAACAACGGCCCAAAGATCGCAGCGCTGTCACTGTGTCTGAGAAATTTCCATTCATTTCCATCTCGCTGGAAAGAGTAGCGCTAATAATCTCGAAAGGGGAGAGTGTTGTCGAACAAAGGATTTCTTGTGTAAACTTCGCAGACAAACAATGAAAAGTCTGAGGCTCCATGAGACCTTTTGTTTTGGCCGTGGGTAGGTTGCACCGGTAGTAAACAGCATGCATCTGGGATCTCTCATAAGCTCATTCATGCATTTATGTTACGAGTGTCCATGTACGATCGTGGAGAAGCGAAGAGATAACTAGTAACCCTGCAATGTTCTCCATGGCAGTTAACCGGGGTGGGCCAGAACTTGCGATCAAGCTTCAGGACGAACCCGCTCTGCAGTTCATGGGGATCAACCACTGACAGGTCCAGTCGCATTGATTAGATCGGCACTCAAGTAAAAAAAGCAGTCGTTATCAGGCGTCTCATTGCGGCTTGGTGAAGTTTTTCGTCAGTTCGCATAAGGACGTGCATAATGGTGCGTCGCTGCCGTAGCAATTTCTCTCGAAATAGTCTCCATAGGGATATTCAGAAGAGAAGAGAGATAACTTCGATTTCTCCCATCATGAGGATTTTCTGTCTGATCTCGTTGAAAAAGAGGACACTGGTGATCTCTGGGCGAGAGGGAAGGAAGGGGAGTAGGAGGATCAAAGAGTTTCGAAAACGAAACTGAATTGCCGTTCAAAATCAGTTCTTGCATGATGCATTTATAAATTGCTCAACCTAGACCTGGTAAATCTGATCGCCTCCCTTCCCCGTCCCTCACCCCTACTTGGAACCTTACTAAATTTTCCCAATTTCCCACCATTTTACAGGAGCTGCTTCTAAAATTTCTTCTACTCACTCCTTCTCCCCCATTTTCTCTAAATAACCGCCGTCGAACTGAGGGAGGGATGTGCGGAGAATGTGGGGGCAATCCAAACAGGAAAAACCGTGAAAAGGAAACTGGAAACTATGGGAGACATTTTTATCTGAAACAAAAACGACCCACCCCCTCTCGCTGAAAATCACCAGCGTACTATGAGCCCTGCCTATAACATGAAGGAAGGCGTTTTGGGAAAGTTTGCGTCATCCTGAAAGATCTCCTGGGCAAACATAACCTACCCGAATCTTACACCTTTCTTGATACAGTGTTTTGATTATTCTCCAATCGATGTTTCTCTTTTTCAGCTCTCTTTTATACTTCTCGCTTTCGCCGCTGTCCTGAACGAGATTGTATTGTCGTTCGTCCATGAGCGTGTTCCCGAGACGCCCCCACTGCCTGATATCACCTTCTCGTTGATACCGTACTACAAGGACGGTCTAAAAATCTGCGAATATATCATGCTGGCTTCGTTCGCCTCTGTTCTGCTATTGATGCTCTTCCATCGGTGAGCTATAATTGCAGTTATTTCCACTGCAGACGCTCGGACTTGCCAAGGGCCTGGGTTTGGCGCAGCGCCGGCCCGTTCTCACCACTTGTTGAAGCGGGTAAGCGGTAGCAGTTGGTGTAGAACGGGCTGGCGCCGCAGTAAATCCAGCCCTGACACGAGCCAGCGTCCGCAGCGCAATCTCGCTTTCTATAAAGTCCATTGAAGGAGCAGTCAGTTACGGTAGTTTTTATAGTCATCGATGGATTATGTTCCGGCGATTAATGATGGTAGGCTCGTTACTGTATTTGATGCGTTGCGTTACCATGATCGTCACACAGGTGCCTGTCGCCGATCCGAATTTCCTTTGTGCGCCGAAATATGTGAGTTTTCTTTTTCTCACGCTCTCGTTCTAGTAGCATTTTTTCATTTCACTGACTTGAGGGGGGGTTCAAGAGCAACGAAATATCAATCAACTGTACATTTTCTTTCATTTATAGCGTTGAGAACAGCTTGCTTGAATGATGGTTGGTTGCCATGTCGCTGTACATTTCTATGAAGAAAATGAGAAGAATGGGGAGCGGCATTACTCCCAAGGGTGATAACAAATGATTCATACTAGTAATGACCTGATCTCACAGCGATTTATTGGTGTTATAGATTTTGTGCGGATGCGCGCACGACAGTCATGATCAGCGTTGGGGGCGGGGGCGGGTATAGCCGCAGCAGTGAGCTTTCTTCCATCAGTGTGTATCCTGATGCCCGTAACTTAGCGGAAAATCTGAATGACTACTGCCCCTGAGCTCTAAGTACGCCACGTCACGGATCTCGTTTGCATGGTAATGACGCTATACCCGTTGGAAGGCTTGTTTCACCCCAAACGCCGCAATGTGGGTCTGACATCCGGCCCCGTGGATCGTAGCCCTACCAGGTCGACCCGTACTCTGCTGTTTCCAGAGTTGGTACGTTGTTAATAACACTGATTTGAAGTGCCCCTTAGAGTGCATAGAGGATGTTAAATACACACCACATTCTTCCAAATAACAGAATGAAAATTGAATGCACGTATGGCGAAGGTGTTGCTCAATTCAATCGATTCAAACCCTTTATCCTCTAGGGTCAAATCCTCTCACGATTAGAGAACCCTTTTGTGAAGTGATACTGTCGTCAGGGAAGGGTTCTATCTGGTCACAGAAAACGTTTTTCAAGTTGCAAGAAAAATTTTCCGATCGTTGATTTTTCGCGCCATATACAACATCCTCTTCCACCCCGAAGTTGGTGGCGCCGCAACATCTTCGGAGAAGGTAGGGATTTGGCTCGGCAGGGTCGTAGGCAGGTTCTGATAAGGGTAAGGAAAATTTAAGGGTCATACTAGAAGCGAATGTTTTGTGGAGGGGCCGTACTGAAAGAGGAAATTTTGGGAGAATCGTTCTTAAAAGGTTTTTTTCTCGGGTGAAGAGGAGGAAATGGAGCCACTCATTTCGACACCCAGACTGGGTAAGCATAGGGTGCCCTCCTTTCATCCTAAGCGAATGCAATTTCTGGAATTTATGCTTGTGCTGTTCTCAGTTGCTGAGTGCTTGGTAACATCTACCCTAGAGAAGTTTTGTTTTCAAACTCCGCGATTTTTTTTTCAGGGTGAGAATGCGACTTTCTGGAATGTGGTGCTACGGGGCTTGAAGATGGTGTCCGGCGTTGGACTAAACGTTCGCGGCAAGTACACTCTCTGTGGCGACTACATCTACAGCGGCCACACCATCGTGCTCGTTGTTAGCGCTCTCTTCATAGGAGAATGTGAGTCTACAATTTTCAAGCCGCGTCTGTCTGCCGCAGTAAATGGATAGTTTGATGAAAGAAAAATCTTCAAAATTGCCATGATGTTCTCTTGATACCGTCTAGGGATTTTTTTCTATTCTCTGGCTACCAATCTGTTTCAGATTCCCCCCGACGATGGCGTATTCTGCACATGTTCTTCTGGTTGGTCGCCCTTGTCGGTGTTATATTTTTGGTGATATCACGCGGTCATTACACCCTCGACGTCATCCTCTCTTACTTCATCTGTACACGAGTTTTCTGGATCTATCACACCATGGTGGCCCACCCCACGGTCCGGGTAAGTGAGATTCTATGACAGTTCACGTTTTCTTCACATTAGTCATGCTTTGGAAACATTTTGAATACCGAAAAAGGGTTGCAGCACTAAGAAATACGAGTTATAGAGGGAATGAATCCCTGGGTTGAATGAAGACTTCGCGATCAGTCAGCGAACAATTAGTAAGGAGCGGGTTGGGAACCAAAGGTAAACCTGCTACTTGACTTGATTGTGTGGAGAGGGTAGCTTGGTCCGCAATGGATAATTTTGTACCAGCTTCGCGGCGGGAAGTTGTAAGGTAAGCTGCGTCCATACTTTGCGGCAGCGTCCATTAGCGCTTCCAGCGTACGCCAGGGAGAGGATGCATATCGATCTAGCGTTCCCAGCGTCACCAGCGTCACGCTAGCGTTACGCCAGCGTTTCTCCAGCGTTTCACCAGCGTTTTGCTAGCGTTTGCAGCGGCAGGGGAGTAGAGACTATGGGAGAGCTGGAGGGTACAAAACACATCGATTGCGCGTCTCTCACTCGCCCTCAGTCTCTACAATACACATCGATTCTGCGTCTCTGACGGCCACATAGTCTCTACAATACACAACGATTGCGCGTCTCTTACGGCCACATAGTCTCTACTCCCCTGCCGCTGCAAACGCCAGCAAAACGCTGGTGAAACGCTGGAGAAACGCTGGCGTACGCTAGCGTTACGCCTAGTCGTTACGCCTTGGTGTACGGCTGGGACGCTCAGATCGATATCCATTCCTCTCCCCGGCCACTGCCGCTGGCCGTACGCTGGAGAGCGCTTACGCTTACGCTGCGCAAAGTATAAAAGGCAGCTAGGTAAGCTGGCGTCCATACTTTGGCGGCAGCGTCCATATATGGCGTTTCAAACGCTTCCACAGCGTCAGCTTGAGCTGGGAAAGTATAGATATAGTGATCTAGCCGTTGCGCAGCGTCTCCGGGTCAAGTGTTCCGTGAACCTCTGGCAGCGTCACAGCCAGCGTCTTGAGGGCACTGGTAGCAGCTGTTGATAGAGGTATAACGAGAGTAAAGGGCTAGGAGGCTAGCAAACAACTGGTAGAATTTGGGGAGATAGGAGGGTAGCAAACTGCAGGTAGAGAGTGTGACGCGATAGGAGGGTAGCACCTATCTGCTACTCGCGCTATCGCGCCATACTATCCTCTCCCGGACGCTGGTAGACGCTAGATCGATATTTATACTTTCCCGGTCGCTGACGCTGCTGGACGCTCGAAACGCCAGTGGACGCTGCCGCAAAGTATGAACGCAGCCCAAGTAACAACAGGGATGACTCCGGCGTGGAAGGTACACTGTTTAGGCTCGCCTAAATCTAGGGCTGCGTTCATACCTTGCGACAACTGTCTTTGCAACCAACTAGAATATCAGAAAATGGATGACCTCAGCCAACCCGTAAGCCGGCTGTTTCTATGAACATTTTTCAGCTATCAACGCAGAATCATCATCGCAAGGAGTTTTGGTTTCCGTTATTCCGTTGGATGGAATGTAACGTGCTGAAGCCGATACCACGACGATTCGACTGTCCGTTGCCAATGAATCAACTACGATCTGTGTTCCGACGACGGGTAGCGAACGCACGTATTGAATAGCACAGCTCTAAGCGTGATCGCGCTCGGATCGCTGAACTGCCATTGTTCGCGAGCATTCCTTAGAAAATCGCATTTTCCACGGAATTTCTAGACTTCTATTCATGTGCCATGCCATTATGCAAACCGGTGTTAGCGAAGCGTTGAGGTGCTTCGGCTTTTTGTATCTTCCAGTACCCCAATCGATCACTTCGCAAATTATTAATATTACTGACAATAAGCGCACTTTGTTACTACACAGTAGTGTATTATACCGTAGTTGATTCGTGATTTAGCTCCTTCGTTAGCTTTTAATCCTATTCCATGGCAGATTCCAGTCTTGTCAACTTTTATTCTAAAGCGGAAGCGTTAACGATTGGTCATGAACACTAACAAGCAGAAGTGGAAGTGGATGTTAAAGAGGTCAATTGAATATTCCAGCAAGCATGTCGTAAGGCGCAGGGCGCATAGAGTGAAGTGACACCTCCAAAGTGGCGCATCCTCTGCTCCAGACAACTCGTCCAGAGGAACCAAAAAAGGATGGAAAATTGAGAATCACGTGGTAAAGGAAACCGACATGCGGAAGATGCGTTTCCTCCTCCGTGTGGCCGTTCAATGAAACTTCCGTGCGTCCGCATCCCTCAACCTTTTCATTCTCGATTCCCTCCTTTGTTCTTCTCAACGTGCTGTCCGGCCGGCCCAGAAGATGAACTGCCTGAACATGCTACCATGGTCCTACCGCGAAGGGAGTGAGGCCGGCAGACAAAGAAAAAGATGGAAGAGCATAAAGGTGCGAGCCAACTCGGGACTCGAGGATAGGGGTTTTCAATGGGCGGGTGTGGATTCCGAGTGCACTGTACTAGTTAACAGTGCTCATAGAGCACCATGTGAAGAGGGGGTAAACGAGGCCAGAAAGTCAGTGGGTGATGCGGACAAAACAATCGTAGTTTTCTGCGTCGTCGTGCGCGGCGACGCGCGTCAAATACTCGATCTGCATCGTTTGTCAGTTGAAGTAGCGGAATTTAAGCGGACTCCAGAAAGGGCTATATCGTATTTTTCCTTTCCTTATAGGCTCAGAATCAGGAGACCAGACAAGACAACTCGCCTTTCGGGCGCGGTGTCGTGCGCTACGCCCACCAGCGCGGCATATTACGATTGTCTTGTCACATAAACATTCAAGCACTCCGTTTCCCCCCACTTGTGCCTTACGACTGCTTTCTGGTAATGGATGGGGCTCTTTTCTCAGCGTCTCCGGCTCGCTCATGACAATCGATAAAGCGAACCGAACTATAATTTCTGTTGTCCTTCCTCATGTCATTGTACGGGCCTTATTTTGTGCTATTGGCACGCGTAGTAACCAGTTCTGTACAGTACTGTTTTCACTTATGCTGTTTACAAAATAGTCACGTTACCACTTTTCGATGATCTTCTCTCAATGGACCCTATATGTAGTTTAGTTGCATATTCTATTAATGTAAAACATAGTTGCGACAAAGTCTTATTAAAATCAGTCCATTTGCCTATTTCATTATGGTTCTATTGTGTTTGTATATTATGAGTGGTCCATTCAAACACTCCCTTCATCTACGGCTATCGTATGCGTGCTATCATACGTTTTCTAGATCGAATTGTGTCATTGCCTTAGATGTTTTTTCATCACATTTATACTTTTAGATTCTTGCTTATGTCATTCTTGCCGTCTAAAACACTCAAACATTTGCCATTAAATATTT